AAAAAAAAAGTTGTGCTATGCACGAGTAACTCGAGGTGGGGGGGCTTTCAGGTGCGCTGCTTTACGGCCGCGGTTTACATTTGCATGGTGGTAAGCGGAGCGTGTGGTGCTGCCCGCTGCGATGTTTTGAAATGAGATCCAACCCGTTCTCCGGCAGCTCGCTTCCAACCGCCTCAACCTGCTCTCCAACACAAAAGACAGGCGCCCGTGTCAGGACGCCACTCGTGTTTGTCGGTGTCACCAGCTCCCGCTGTTCGCGTGTCCGTGCCGGACTCAAACTAGCTTTAGCGGGGCATGAAGGGCGCGTGATGTTTAACGTTGCCCACCGCTCTCGTAAATACTCCCCCACGCGCTCCGCGGTCGAGGATGTCTCCCAGGTGACCGGTGTCCAAGCGAACGAGGCGCCCGAGGCGACGTGGCCGCCGCCGGGTGCGAAGATGCGCTTTTCCAAGGGCCACAAGGGCGCCGCGGTGGTGAAAGCCGTCCGCCGGCATTCGTCTCCTCCGCCGACGAGCCTCGAGAGTTTGGGGGCGGCCTGGGGCGAAAGGGGGCAGCCGGAGGTGAAACCGGGGAGAGGGGCGCCGCAAGCCGCGAGGAACGCCGAGGAAGCGGGGGCGCCGGGCCGGAGCAGGAAGAAAGGGTTCCGGGCCCCCGACGTGAGGACCATCTTCTCCCCCGCAGAGAGGGACCCCAGGGTGGTGGAGGAATCCGGCGAGGGCCACAGCTTCCAGCCCACCGGAGTGAGCGGGTGGTGTGACGTGTGCTGCCATTACATCCTCCAACATGGCCTCACCTGTGCAGGTGAGAGTTTCGGGGGGGGGGGGGGGGCGCCAGGGGGGACTTTGACTTTCCAAATTTCCCCCCTCACCTTTATTCACCGCCATTAACCTGGAATCATTAAGGGCTGAGTTTGGAGTGGGGATATGAAATGAAGTCAGATAAGAGGTCTAAAGACAAACAATGTCCAAGCCAAACTAAACCCAGAAGCTGAGATTTTAGTTGACAGTCCTCTCTACTGTCAAACATGTATGAAAAAACTGTTGATTCAGAGATTTTTGGGGGTGTATATATATATATATATATATATATATATATATATATATACACATGTGTGTGTGTAAAACAACTTAATGTTTTCTCCCAAAAACGCACATCTATAACAACCGTTGTGGAGTCCAGGCTCTTGTATCCATTAACGTATTCTTTTGACCTGCTGTTTTCACTGCAAAAAAATAATTGACTGGTCACGCGTTGGAGGGGAAAGTATATTCGGCTCAGTTGCTCTTCAGCTCATTTTCTTTTTACACATTTATCAAAGGAATATACCCAACCCACCATAGAAATAAATGTCCGCTCTTCTTGTCGCTTTACGAAGGTGTCAGTGGGCTAAAACAAGGATCCTAAAGATAGCATCTTGGGTAAACATCTGAGCAGAAGACCCATCTTAAAAACTCATCTGAGAAAAACTGATTATCAGCAAAGTTACCGGCATGTGAGTGTACGAAAAGCAGCCCTGTGCGTCTATCTGGTAGTAAAAGTCAAGCCCCATGGATGACAGAAATAGGCAGGGCTCTAAAATGCTTAGAGACTGGAATGCTGATGGTATGCAGATTGACAGCTTCAACTTTAAGAAGCAGACCTTTGTGTGAATCCTGGAGAGCAACCTTAAGAATTCCTTCCATGTGTGGAAAAAAAAAAACAATAGAAGAGGGAAGCTCAGAAATAAAAATGCTATTCTTCCTGATGCACAGGGCTCCATAATGCAGCTGCCATAGTGTTATAATGGCGCCAACATTTTCATTTTGACGCCTTTGCCTCATGTGGAAACTTTATTTTTTCATTTGTTTTTTCTTAAAAAATTTTTTTTACGAAAACAAAGGAAAGCAGAAAAACAATGCATATCTAATGAACAGTCAAAGAAAGCCTGCTAATGTCACAGAAAATGACAGCTGCTGCTGAAGCACAGGTTTATTTAATGAGAGGACAGAAAACAGGCCTACGCTGGAGAACCCTAGACTTCAACCAGCGTAGCCAAAATGCTAATGAGAAAGAAAAAACCTACACTCGAAACATGAACGAGGGAAACCAAAGGAACAGCGAGCCAGGAGCTAGGGAAGAAGGCACAAGAAGACATTCAAGACACTTTTCAATCTTCTCAGAAATGAACGTCCCAGGAAGTTCACCGCAAGGTCAGAGAAACTTCCAAAAAACTCAAAAGTTACATCTCACACTTAATAGGCCTCAGTTACCATGCCCAATGTGGGATTAATGGCGGTGCTGTTTGGGGAAAAAAAAGGCTGAATGAAAATGTGGTGGAGGGCTGGAGGTACCAGGACCTGGGTGAGACCATGCAGTCCTCCTCTGTATACAAAAGCATTCTGGAGTCAAATGTGAGGTTTGATAAGATTTGATAAGGATCATATGTGTTTTTGCCCATTTTTGGAAGATGAGAGACTCAGCTGTAATGTATCACTGTAAAACACATAAAGTCCTGAGTAAAAGGCAGAAGAAAGGCCTTGAAATGCTAAACACATCATCTTCCTTGTTGGCTGTCGTCCATTTAGTCTTCTAAACTTCATTATACAGTGTTCGCAGACAATGAGCCTCCACAAAGAATTGTTTGTTTCCTGTTCATTTTACCAGCAGCACGATGGAGATAATGGCGCGTCGGGCTTTAACGCTGGCTGGTTATTTCTGATCATTTTGAGGCCGATTGCCACGTCGGGAGCCGGAAAACCAAAGCAAAACGGGCGAGCCTCATCCTGTGAAGAAATATAAACAGAAAGCCCCCCTTTTCCATGTAGCACACCCTCCACAGGAGGACTGTTTTGCTCTGCTCACTGGTTCACCTATTAACACACGGAAACGGTCACTTATAAACCACTTCTGAGAGCAGCCGTTAAGAGCTGTCGAATATTAATTATTTTCATAAGAGCGTGTCACAAAACTCTGAAAAGGTCCAGATTGTGCCAACGCTCACATTTTTACCTTCCTTCCAATGGTCAAAATGCCTTTTTCGTATTTGTTTTTTTTCCCGTTTACCCAAAGAATGCAGACCACAAAAGTTGAATAAATGTAGGGTTTTTGAGTACGGGCAAAATCCTTCTGCTTTTTTAAAATCCCATATTTAACAAGCAGTAATGGGAGCTGTTTCACATTTTCTTTTTTACTTTTATCTGGCTCTAAATTTGCCTTTTGTGTCACTGAATATGCACAAAAATGAATAAACAGAGCGTTGGTGGTAATCAGCTCTCTCCCGCTGTCTTAATTAATTTCTTCCTTTGATATTAACACAATACATTAAAGTAAAGAAGTCGCGTCTTTTTGCAGGAAAAAAAAAGACATTTTAATACTATCCAGCAGTTATACTTTAGATGAGAATTGGGAGGTTTAGCCAATGGAGAAAAAAGCAGCAGTTCAATTCACTTTTATTTATATTGTTTCAAAGGACATTGAATGGCATCTCTTGACACTTTAAAGACACAGGCCTGATAACCGAAGGCTGAGCCCCCCTTATTACTTTTAGATGTGAGAGGTGAGAGTGCAAAAGGGCCCCGTATGAACCGTGTTTGTGTCAATGTCTTAAAGCTAAAATCGTTTCACTTCTAAATTTGAGGAAGAGCCAATGACAAGAAGCTAATCTGTCAACGGAGTGATTTTAGGTTTCTCAGTGTAGGACAAGCAACCAAGAAAACGTCATCTAGAGCCCCTGTGTAACTAGACGGCTTCTCCCCGAGGTGTCATTGTAGCAAATGGGTCTGAAACGTGTCTTGCGAATATTTGGCCTCCCTGTTATCTTCATTTTAAAAATGCTTCCTTTCTCAGGATACATTTGACGCGTTCATCAGCAGCAATTAAAACTTATTTTTGATTGATTTTTTAAAACCTGGAACAGGTTTCTGTGCGATCTGCTCATCCCAGTGACATTAAGCGCACGGCTACTACTTGGGCGTTTGTGTCCGACTGGGACAACTGACCCCCCCTAACCCCACCCCCACGTGCGTCTCTTTGTCTTTGTACCTCGAGGCAAAGTAACAGAAACCCGCGTGCAGTGCAGGAGATCTTTGTCTGGTCTGGCTTTAAAGTTGCATTAGACTGCGCGCTCATTAGCCGTTAGCTCACTAGCGGTGTGTGGCATTTCAGGACGTGGCTGGAGACAGATTCTGTCCTCAATATCCCATCAAAGATTACAAAAACAGTCCTTAAAGTCCTTAGTGGGATCGTTCAAACTCAAAATGACTCCACAAACCCCCTCCAGTGAGTCGGTGAAGGGGTTTCACATCCTAGAGGGTCATTTAGAGCCCCTGTTAGAAATACCCGGGCTGATTGCCCACGTCTCTCCTGTAGAGTCTGCCTTCACCGCCTTTGTGTGCGCGTCAGCTGCCGTCCTCTTGTTTGTTCAGTCGCTCTCACAGTTTGCCTCCAGAAGACGCACTTAACCTGTGGCGGCTCGCGGCCTACACGCCCACTCCTATGCCGCAGACACAATGGTGGGACGGCGTCCGCCGGGGAGGGGAGGGCTCATTCCGGGCCGGAGCGCCGGCGGCAGAGGATGAGGGCAGAGGATGAGTTTCGCGGGGGGAAGAAGCGCAGACTAAAAGGTCACGGCGGCGCTGGGCTGCGAGCATGGGCTTCCCCAGAAAGTTTGGGAAAAGCCTGAGGAGAGCGTCCAGGTTTTTCTGCCGGTTCCCCAAACTGATGCGACGCTCCGGACGTCTGGAGGTCAGCTTGTTGTTAGGAAACTCGGGTGAGTTTTTTAACCCAGTCTCCAGACATTTAGGAGGCTGAGATTCCACCTTTCTCTCTCTCTGTCTGCAGAGTTCCCCGGCGGAAAAGTTTTTCTGAGCTGGCATCAGTTTACTGTAAACTGAGTTCTGTGGTAACCTGAAACAAACACAAATGAAACTAAATAGGTTAGGAAATGGTTAGCATTGTGTTTTTTTTTAAGACCGAATGCCTCCGATTGTGCTTCTGTGCTTGTGGCCGGAATATCTGAGTATACAGTGAAATGCCTGAGCACGTGTTCAGACTGGCACAAACAAAGAAAGTAACGACAGATGGCTGCTGCATTCAACACACACCTGTGTTTGTCCGCCAGCCTCTGGAGGAACATTTGGAGGAAATTCCCGTCCAACTGTCTGTAGTTGCTTGGATTTCCAGCAGCTACAGCCCATTTGTTTAGTCTAAAAAAAATATACATTTCCTGGTACCGATGTCTTTTGTTTACTGTACGTGCGTCCGAAAGTTTCAAAATTTTAAATAGATGTGTGGAATATCCAATGTTTAATCAATTCAATACAACAGAAAATCGAAATCGATGCCCAGTTCACAGCATGGAGCTCCAATGGATGAGCAGCTTACCATGTTATGGATCACTTCACAGACAGTGGGATGTTTTGGTGTCACCCACCATCTCATAACCAGTACACGGGTACCGATAAATACCAGTAACGCTATCACGTTTATATTCACAGCGGACAATTGATAAAGGCAGAGGACGGGTTAAATGCTGCTTTTAATTTGCTTATAGTGAACACTTCTCAGCAAGAGGGGAGTTGTAGCGTGTCAAACCCTAAGTCGGGTTGGGAGTTGGCGGTCGCTGACCCCGCAAGTTCCCGTCGTTCACGCAAATCATCTGAGATCCCTGATTATGCTCAGAGGTTTACATTTTGCACTTATTTTTGGCTCTCATACTTTCTTCCGCCCAAAACAGCAAAGCATAAATATGTTAAACCTTTACAGGGTATACTTTGCCAAATCAGATGGATTAAGCCACCATTTATAGTTTAGGTTTGAATCCCTGGGTTGAGTGAAGAACTAAAACTTTTACATTAGTTTAAAAAAAATTATTTGCAAAAGAAACGTGAAGTCTGATAAGATGAGAAGATTTCTAGTTCCCCTCAAGTGTACTCAATACCGAGCCTTTTGTCCACAGGGCAAATCTGCAAGAGCCGTCTCTGCTGCTGAAGTCAGAAGTGTGTGTCTGTGTGTGTGTGCTTCAGCAGGTGTGTGTCAGGGGAGCCGAAGCCTCACCGTCTGTCCCCCTGCACACGCTATCTCGATTATAGACCTCACGCTAAAAACGTTTCAGGCACATGAGAAATAGCTGTAGAGTCTGATAGGTATGGAGATTCTGACCTCCCTTAGCAGTGATTTCCAAGCTGCTTTTTCAGCAAAAATAAAAAAGACAATGGCACAGTCTATGTTTCTTTATATTTAGTTAACTCTAGGATCAGTTAACAAAAATATTGGAAGTAATTTCACTGATTTTTTTATTTGACCTCGAAGGGAGTCCCTTTGTGATTCTGAATTGGATTCGGCACGTATAGAATTTGGATGGATAAAAAGGGATGGTCTCCTTTGTTTGAAGCCAGATCCTTTTTGAAACCATATTGAATGCTTTCCCCAGGCTCAGGTTTTTGTTGGTTTTGAGTTTTGTATTTTGTACTTCCTGCCTTTTCTTTTCATTTAGTCGGTACGGAAAAAGTTGTACGTTTTACAACTCACCATTCTTCTGCATCCTATGCCAGCACACCCCTCCTTCTCCCCCTCTAACCATGAAATGAGTCATGTCAAAATGGGAGTCTTTTCACTATTAAATTGACATGTCTGCAGATAAATCAAAACACTGTTTTTGCGCAACAAAAACAATTTGTCCTGCGTTCAATATATTTCTCAAGAGTTGCTGTTTCCATTCGAAAAAAGGAAAGGTCAGGGAGGTTGTGTGTGTTTGCGCGCGCGTGTGTTCAGCTTTTCTGTGAGGGGATGATTGAGTCTGATCGATTTGTGGTGTCTAAGAAGTGCTTTTATCTCGGCTCGAAAGCTCTGTGACTCCGTAAAAGAGAGGAAAACAGTGAGGGGGAAGAAGGAATGTATTACTAAATGTGAAAATGTTACATTACAAGCAACTTTACGTTAAGTTTTTTTGGTACACTGTTTAAGACCCAAAGCACCAGGAGAGTTGACTTTTATCCATAAAGATATGTTGCAGAATCATTTAAAATCACCAGTATTATTTTCAAAGTCAACCCCAGCACACATTAACGGCCAAAGTTGCTATGATTGTTCAACATGTTAGCATGCTAGCTTTTTCTAAATGGGTAAAACGATAGATAGATAGATAGATAGATAGATAGATAGATAGATAGATAGATAGATAGATAGATAGATA